TATATTCTTCAGATAAATCAATTTCAGGATCATATATAAATGTTGATGGTTGATGAATTAAATTTATTGTTGTCATTGAATCTAAAAAAAAATATAATTGAATTAATCTCGAAACTGATTTTTTTTTTTTTGTTATATATACTAGATTCATTCAGTATAGTCTGTTCAGAAAATGAAACCTTATTTAAGTTAAATTGCTAAAATAGTATGTTGCTCACTGTTATTATTGCACTTGCCTGCTCTCTTTCTCTTTTTCTCTGCTTTGATTGGCATCGAAATCGTTAAAGTATATACTACACTTTTTTCTTCTTATTCAACAAACAGTCTCGCATCCAGGCTTAGTCAACAATCTATGATCGAACGATCGTTTTCAAGTATACATAGGCAAACTCGTTTTCTTTCTTTTTTCTTTTTCTTCTTCTTTTTTATTATTATTATTTTTCTTTTTCTTTTATACATAAAAAAAAAAGACAAAAAGTTGAATTATTTCACATCTATGAATATTGATAAGGTTAAATACAATCAAGAATGGACACCTGTTTACTGATATATAAGCTCTCATTTTTTTTTTACTCTTTCAACTTGAAAATAACAACTTTGTTTTTTTGATTATCGAACGGCTTTATATTGACAAAAAAAGGTCATCAAACAAATGTTTATTGATCTCTTCTCGTCAATTTGATGGATGGATCAAACAGACGAACGATATACATATCGAACGGTGGTGTACAGTTGCTATTAAGAAAACAAATCCGCTCTTTCTATATGTATACAGACGTGTGGTCTAGATCGTTTTTCCTCTTCTAACGCTTTGCTGATGATCGATATTTGCCAATGCATATACGCATGTAGTCAATGCCGATGTGATTTTATATTAATAAGATCGACAGAAGAAGTAAAAGAGATTGTGGACATTAAGACAACAGAGAGAAATATTTGATAGAAACAAATATTAAAGCTACCGTCACGACAACACAATATAGGCGAGAGAATGACGGGCTTGTGTGTGTGTGTGTTTGTTAACTATTGATGATGAAATTTACTTTTTTTTTTTTTTTTTCTATTGAAGTATTGCAGTAATAGAATTAACAAACTGCTAAAAGAAAAAAGCCAAGATGAAAAGAAAGGACTACTACTAGTTTCTCACGCACTTATATATATATATATATTATTTAAGACAAAAAAAAAAATAAAAGTCAATTATTTACCTTGTTTCTTAATTCTTGTTGGTGCTTTAGAAATTTGTTTAAAAATATGATTAATTCGTTTTTTACATTCATCTATCCAAGATAAATTTCTTGTTGGCATATGTTGATTAAATCTATAAATATTTATTGGATTATTAATATCATTTATTTTTATTAATGATAAATATTGTCGCTCTTTATTATTGTTTGAATTAATAGATGAATTTTCATTTATGATATAAGAAACATGACGTTCAAATACTATCATGGAAGAATAATTTATAGCTAACATTGCGTGTGTGTGTGTGTGTGTGTGTGTACTTCTTTTTTTTATATGTATTACTCTGCTAGGATGCCAGACGTGGTCTGAAATAGCACATATGAAACCGAGTGAAAAGAACAGAATAGAATTAGTAGCGTTTATGCTCCAGGCGAAAGAAAGCGGTGACTGTATAATTCTTTTAAAATGTGTGCACAATACAGTTAACCTCTTATGGTAGTAAAAAAATATCAAGGCAACATTTTAGTATTTTTGACCTTTCTGCGTACGTCTTTCTATCTGAACAGTATATAAAATGGATAAGTAAGATCTTTTGTTTTTTTTAAAGATATGATCTAGGCAAACATATCTTTTGAATTCTATTGAATAAAAATTCTATATTTAATGTTAAACAAAGAAAAATTAGTAATTCAGATGGTTACTATGCCACAGATTGTCTACTAAACAACATACATGGAGACATATGTGCATAAGATAAAGAATATTACCGTCAACACGTTTACAAAATGTCTACATTTTCTTTTTTCTTACGATGCCAAAAAAGATTTATTACCATTTTAAGTATCAATATATTTAACATCCATAACCATTTATTTAAGTTGTTCAATATGGCCTTGTTCTATAGGATATATACATGTCGAATATTCATTGACGCCATACATTTACTAATGCATGTCAGCAGGACATTTCTCAATAAACAATCGTACTATTCAATCTCATAATGTCGATTCAATTTTTGTCTTATTCTATCTAAATCAATGATTTTCTTTCTATCTATCTTATAAATATATTTTACATCAATTTTCTTCTATGACTTAGTTTATTAGTACATATGGTCTTTGTAATATAATAAAAAAAAAAAAAAGATGCACTGAGGAGACAAAGTATAAGTGATATATAGCGATATACACAATGTACATCATCACTAGAAGGTATATTTTTTTAAATTCCTATCAATATCATGATAACCTTCACTCTATCATCACATAGCATACATACCTACGGAAAGTGATATTAATCAATATATTACGTACATTTACTAGTCAAGCGAAAAAGAAACATCATATTCAATAAATACTAAGGTCTTTCAATGATTCATAAAATGATAGTTATAAAATAGAAAAAGTATATATTTATGCAAGAAACTCTTTTCTTACGAAAGAATTACTATCGATGTGTATGGTATACTCTTGTTTAGACATACATATCGTATCTTAAAGTTCTTTTCTTCATTCATTCTCTTGCCTTTTTTTTTCCTCGTTCTTATACCAACTGAACTCTATACCACGATACCACTGTTCTTTTTTACATCGACCAACAAATTAACATATGTGTTTGCGTCTTGTTCGCTTCTATGTATGCACAGTGAAAGTGAATCAGCTGTTTCACATACGATGCATTTGATTCTCATCTGGTCGACATTGGAGAAAGAAAGAAAGAAAGAGAAAAGAAAAGAAAAAAAAAACTTATATATCGTGATTGTCAATATTTATCAGCTGCATAATAACAATAGTAAATATTAATTTCTTGATGTCTGTTAGTTCGTTCGTTTGTTTGTTTTTTTTTTTTTATTTTTGTTTTTATTGCTTCTATCGGAAGACCGGTTAAAAAACCGTGTCTATTATAGATTCACATAAAAATGAACATATGTATGTGTAGAATATACCGTTACAAAACAACACATAGATATTAAGGAACAAAACACAAATGCTTATGAGAATGGCAAAATGATACAATACAGACAAACAAAATGGCAGGTCATCACACACAACAACAAAAATAGTTAATATAAATAGAAACGAAAAAAAAACAGAAAAGAATTTTTTTTTTTATCTTGAATTAATATTTCATAATTTTTGCTTTTTTGTTTGTTTGTTTTTAGTGACTCTTTACTCTCTATAACAACAAAAAATGGCTTAATTTTGGATCATTCTCACACAGTTTAAAAGACAGCAAAAAAAAGGAAACAACAAATCCACACAAGCATATGTTGTCATCTGACTTGACAACAAGTGATAGTAATAGTAGATCGAGAAAAAAAACAACAACAACAACAACAAACAAACAAACATGATTTGCCTATAAATATAAATGAGACTACACGAATAAATATTGCCTACATTGAAATAAAAAAAAGAGGAAAGAAAAGAAATAAGACTCATAATATATGTCCTTTTTTTTTTTCGTTGAATACTTGTTTGATTATGTATCAACAATAGCTCGTTTTGGTTCAGCTGTTTTATAAAAAACATTTTTAACAAGTAAACACCGGGGACTTACATATAATGAACTATTTTCTTTAAATTGTTTAAAAATTTT